TGAAGCTTCTCGCGAGACCTCGAAACGATTAACCAGTCGTCAATATATGGATACACCGTAACGCCCCTAGTGCGTAGGTAGGCTGCCACCACCGCCATGCATTTCGTGAAGACCCGGGGGGCTGCGGATAACCCGAAAGGGAGAACATTAAAACAGTAAGCTTCTTTACCCACCAAAAGGCTAAAAACCTGCGATGGTCGGCAATCGACAAGTGAAAATACGCATCTTTTAGGTCTATGGTGGCGAACCAAACACCCTCAGACAATAAAGGCAAAATGGAGGCAAGTGTCACCATCCGGAATTTTTTAGGCCGGATATGTTTATTTAGACTCCTGAGGTCAAGGATGGGACGCAGCCCACCTCTGCGTTTATTGACCAAAAAGTAACGAGAAAAGAAGCAGTATGGAAACATTGAGGAACTTAAGGGCGAAATCGCACCCTTACTCAACATCATTTTAACTTCGTTTAACAGGGGGGCTGAGGGTGGGGTACACCGAATGTGGCCAACCCTTGGCTGATCAATAAACTCAATTGAGTAGCCCTGAGCAATGATAGAAAGCACCCAACTATCCGTGGTAATGCTTGACCAAACTTGGGAGAAGGGAAACAACCTATCCTTAAACTGGTGAACGACCCGTGGCCCAGCTTGTATGGCAGGGGCCAACTGAGCTGCAACAGGCAGGGATGTTTCAACACGCTCAGGGTTATTTCCATGAACTACCGCGTCAAAGACGCTTCTTAGGGCCACCCTGGCCCTTTGTCTTGTTGCTAAAAGGCTGATTGCGGGGTCTAGCAAAGTAGGGGGATTTTCTCCCGCCCTGGAACCTAGAAGAATTGCTATTCCTGTTCCTAAACGGGCCCCCATAGGAGTTTCCGTAGCTCCTACGGAAACCGGAGGAGGGTGGGTTCCACCTCTGGCGTTGTTGGGGGTACGGCTGCCAGGCGTAGCCGAATTTACCCGCTGCCTGCCTAACGTCCTGTTTTTGTTTCAAGTTGTCATCGGTTTGGGGATTAAACAACCCGTCCTCGTGGAAGGGAAGGTCTTCCGCTAGGGCCTTCCCTTCTTCGGAGAGGTTGGAAGCACGGAGCCAGGCGTGTCTCCTGATCGAAGTGGCGGTGGAGTAGAGGTTGCCCGCCGCCTCGGCCATATGCTTTGCAAAGTCTTTTTGCATTTTCGACACTGAGAGCCCTTAGGCCTGTAGTGCTTTAGGGAATCGTTGTTGGTCGGTTGGCAGCATCTCGATGTATGGTAAGATCTTTCCCCATAAGAAGGTCTGATAGCCACTGGCATAAGTCGCATAATGCGCCATCCGGGTAAATAACCCTGCGGCGGAATGTGTCTTTTTCCCTAAAGTATCTATTTTCTTGCCCTCCCTATCGGGAGGGGCAGTTAGTGAGTTCTTGGGGCGTTTGGTTTTCGCCACCTCGGCCACCACGGTGTTCGGTCTAGGCGGGGCCGTAACCCATTTTGCGGAGGAGACGTCAATCCTATAAAGTGAGTCCAACCTCCTTGGGATGGCAGGGACTAGGAACGGCGACATGTCAGCTACCTTCGCTAGTTTGAGAAGATATGGTAAAACAGGTAATGGAGAGGCAGGAGATATGACCTGTTCTTCGGACGGAAACATAGGATCCTCCACGTGCTCGGGAGGTTTTGGGGCAGGGATATCTAAGGCCTTAATCATCTTATCTATTAATGCCGCGAATCGGTTGATGTCGGCAGGATGTATGAATGAGGCACTTTCACCCTCCCCTTGTTGAGTTGGGTCTGGAGGCTCCTGTTCTGAGCCAGAGCTTTCCCCATCAGCGGTAGCTTGCCCAGGCCTCATAGGGGTCGCGTCACCATGCGACTGGGGCAAGGAAGCGCTCATGACCAGAGGACTGGTCCCAGTAACACCCGCATGGGGAGGGGGAAGGGAAGAAGTCAGCACAGAAGCTGCAGTAGCAGAGTTCACGTCATTCAACACAGAAACTGCATTACATGAGTTCATGTCATTAGAGTCCAATGTCATAGGGGGCCCATAGAAAGAAGCCCTACCATGGCCAGCCTGGGAAGTGGAAGGACCTTCCGTCGATGTCGAGGGCCGGGCCACCGGAGCAGTCACAGTTCCCGTGGGTGGCAGAGCCAGGCCAGAGGGTGCAGGAGGAGCTTGCAGCGGGGCTTGCACAAAGATCATTTGGCCCGCAGGCCCCATTTGCCAAAACCCAGGGTATGGCAAGGGAGCCACGGGAGGACGTTCCCAACGCGAGGCCCTGGTGGACCTCGACCGTCTACTGCGCCTCGAGCGCCCGGAGGAAGAAGACGATGAGGAGGATGACGAAGAAGTTGAGGAGGAGCGGGTGCGCCTCGATGCCGAGCGACGGTGGCGGCGGCGCGATCTCTCGCTCCTCCGGGAGGGCGACCTGGACCTCCTTGGTCTCCTGCTCCGGCAATGAGGCTGATGTTGCGGCCAGGGCCTCGGAGGAGGAGCAGGAAGCGCCGGTATCGGGGCAGCAGCGTCGAGAGTGGATCGCTCTTCTCCCCTGGGGCCCGCCTCCATGGCGGCGTCCGCGGTGCCCTCCGTTGTGCTCTCCGTGCCCGAGGGAACTGGGCGGATCGGGGCCTCTGGCTGCGGGGTAGGCAGCAGCACGGGTGCCGGCATCGGGGCTGTCTCCGCCGCGATCGAGAGCGGCATCGGCTCCTGGGCCCGAGTGATGGGCGGGGGCGAGAGGAGCGGCAGCCCTGGAGTGGGTGGGGCTTGGGAAGCCGGCTCCGAAACCGGCGCATGCGCGGCCCGAGGAGTCGAAGTCGCGACCGCCGAAAGAGAGATGGGAGCCTGCTGCCCAAGAGGCCTTCCCTCCGCCTGGCCGCTAGGAGTCGAAGGCGGCGCAACCTCGTGGTCGGGGCCCAGGGGCCTTCCCGCTCTTTCCAGCGGGCTCTTGCCCTGGAGGGAGGTCTGAGCGCCATCTTGGGAGGCCTTAGATTTGGGCCTTTTGGACTTCTTCTTCGGCGCGGTTGCGGCCAGCGAAGGTAGGTCCTGGCGCTCCATTATTCGGCCTGGAGTGACAGGCGGCAGCAAGGCCCTCTCGTAAAGGGCCGCCCGAAGCCTCGAGACCCTGTTCTTCCTCGTCTGAGGAGTGAACGAGGAGCAGATGGCACAGGCCTGGGTCAAATGGGCTTCGCCCAAGCACGTAAGGCAGAGGGAATGCCCGTCCGTGTCCGGCAAAATGTTCGGGCACTTAGTGCACTTCTTGAAAGAAGTAGTAGTAGCCATGGGTTGTGGCTTAAAGAGTAGTCGGCCGGTCCGGGGTCAGAGCACCTTAGTCAGTCCAATCAATGCGTCAAAATAAAGGGGCTAAGCAGAAGAATCGTCGAAAATCAGTCCAAGTCAGTCGTCTTAAGTCAGTCAAGAAATATGAAAGATTGAAGATCGAAGGTTCTCTCAGCTATGCACACGCGAGCGGATTAAGAGAACTGTTGGCTAGCCCCGCCTTCGGGGTATATATACTCGGGAGGAGGGGGGGCGGGTCTAGCTGGGGCTAAGATGTTCTTTTACTTTCTAGAAGGTTCCGGAAGTTGCACTGCGCAAGCGCAAGGATACCAAATGTACAATTCACAGGGACTACGACAGGAAAGTGTGAATGCATAGATGACCAAAGTTATGTATTTGGCTTGTGGCAAGCCCCCAGTATGCAGTCGCCATTCATGATAGGAGGATGGGATCCTGCTCAAGCATCTATTTGCAGGTTATCTTCCACTGGTAGGTGGATGGTAGCAGGGAAGATATTCTGGGGAATGCACCAGTACCAAAGCTCTGAAGTGAGATGGAGGAGGAGACACGATCTAATTCCACCTTGCTTGTCCAAATAAAAAAAAAAACATAGCAGTGGTGCTGTTGGTCAAAATTTCTACCACAAAACCTTTGATGTGTTTCTTGAAATCTTGTAAAGCCTTGAAGGCGGCCAGTAGTTTCAACTAATTGATATGTTGTTTTCTTTTGAGAGCTGATCAAGGTTGACTAATGGACAGGTCTCCACAGTGGGCCCCCCAGCCCAGCATCAAGGCATTGTTATGATCTGCAGTGTCAGAGATCAAAATGGCATTCTGACGTATATGTTTTCTCTGATGCTCCACTAGCAAAAAAACTTGAACCTGATCTGGGATCGAGAGGCATTTGTGGTGAGAGTCCCAAAGAGGGTTGAAGGCACAATGGAACCACTGCTGAAGGGGATGCATATGCAGACGTGTGAAGGGTGTGAGAGCAGTGGTGAAGACCATGTGCCCTAAAGCAATCTGGACATCTCTGGTGCAGACAAATCTTTGAAGACAGCAATGTGTGACTGCTTTTTGCAAATTGAGGAATCTGTCCTTTGGGAGGAAAGTCTTATCGAGAAGGGAGTCAAAGTTGGTCCCAATGAACTGGATACTTTGTGGTGGTGTCAAGTTGGACTTCTGTAATTCACCATGAGGCCAAGTCCTCGGCGAAGGCGGAGTGTAAAGTCTATGTTCTTCTAAAGACATGTCATAGACAGAGCAACAAGCAGCCAGTACTAGGTATGAGTACACATTCACATTGTTGGTTCTGAAATGAGCAGCTACCTCTGCCATCACTTTGGTAAATACCCTTGGAGCAGTTGACTGATCAAAGAGGAGGAAACAGAACCGATACACTTATTTCTTGATGCAAAACACCAGAAACCTTTGGCAGCTTTGATGTATCCCAACATGGAATGATGTGTCTTTCAGGTCCAATGTCGCAAACCAGTCACTGTGTCAGAGCATGGGCAGGACAGACAGGAGCAATATCATTTGGAACTGTTTTGCCTTTATGAAGGTATTGACAAAATGGAGGTCCAGAATTTCCTATTTGGCAGAGTGTAATAATGGGGAAAGCAAGCCCGCTGAAAAGTCCTTTTTGTGAAGCAGCAGTATTGCTCCTTTTCGAAGGAGTGTTTGGACTCCTGCCAGAATCTGAAATGAAGGGGGGGGGGGGGTTTCAGAGAATCGCTCCCATAGAGGGCAAAAATTTGAACCTGATGATATAGTTGAATATAATTGTGCTGAATATCCAGCGATTGCCAGTGATGTTGGACCAAACAGGAAAGAATTTGCTTAGCTGAACTCTGAAGCAATGAGTTCAGAGACAAAAAAGTTGTGTTGGATTGACCGCATTGATTGTGTTACAATGGGAAATATGTCCCTTTCCGTCAAGTGTGAGTCAGTCTTTATGCCTTCATAGAGGATGTGGAAAGGGGCACAGGCTTCCTCTAAGCCAATGCAGAGGTAGAGGGAACAACATCCACCTTTTTTGTTCCCGAAGGTGGCTTTGACGCTGACATCAAAGCCAACAAGCAGGGTAATAGGGCTGATAAGAGCGAAGCCTCGCTTCTCTATTTTTCCGTGCTTGAGATGAGAAAGCCTGGCAGTGGATACAAGTGTGGATGGAATGCTCTTTGCCCAATCAGAGGAGGCACTTGGAGTGCCTGTCCATATTGGACAATTTGCCTGAACATTGCTCGCAATGCTTAAAAGACGTGGCCCACACCGTACTCACAGAATTAAGTCCAAAGCAGGAGCAGGAGTAATGAGCCAACAACTACAAGAGTCAGAAAAACTGATCATAAGTCAGACAAAATCACTATCAAGTAATCTTAGAAAACTAATAGCAAGCTAACAACCAAAGACGAGCTGCGTTCTTGAACTGTCTACAGCATGGATCAAAGGAACTGAAGGTTTTCAGTGGCCACTGGGCCTTATATAACCTCAGGATGGTGGGCAGGGTTACTTACTGCCAAAAGATTTCTGTGATTCTAGAAGGTTCCGACCAATGCTCTGTGCATCCACGATAATACCTAATTTGTGATTCACAGAGACTACAATGAAGAAATATTATTCTGCAATCTAAAATATTTTTCTAACAAGTCCCTCATTGCTAGAAAGTTCTATTTGATGGCAAACCCATGTTTTATTATTTATAGTAACCAGTTAGGAAGAAATACATTTCAATATGGGTATCAATAGATATTGTTCTTGCTGTTTAGTGACATACATTCTGAAGGCATAAAATTAGTTGAAGATGTATTGCATTCGTTGTAACAGCTGAAATAACACTAGATATTTGAAAACTAAATAAAAACAATTTAAGTGCTATTTTACAAATAGTTGAGTCTAATAAAAATATTCTAAAAATGTAAATTCTTAAAATTCTCAAGAGGATAAAAAAATAAAAAATAATTGATTCCACTAGAGAGCTGTTATCAATGGTTATGTCTTAATTCCTTTCTCACCCAGCTTTATGGTACTGGAACACATTCATTCCTTATCAATTTTTTCTGGGGCTCTGGGAACTCATATATGTATAATCCTGTGTAAGAGAAAAGTACGTGTTAGACATGTTAGACAGACTGTAGTTGTATCTGTATTTACTCAAGTAATAATGTATCCTTGAATGTAATGCTACCTTCAATTTTGAAAGCATGTTTTGCAAAAAGGCTACCTCAGTCAGACCTTCCCACCAGGCTTTTCATAGCTACCAATGCCTCTCCCTCTTCTGTCCTCAGTTGAGATCTCTTGTGCAACAGCTCAAACAGTTTTAGACAGACGATTCTACTGTGGCATCAAATCTAACGAACACCTCAATTTTAGTGATGTAACAGCCAAAAAATGAGTATTAAATTTGAGTAAATATGGTATCTGCCTCAACACTGAAAATTCAATTTAATAAATCAAGTAAACTAATAATAAATAATTTAACTAGTCAAATAAATAAGTTTTCTTGTCTGTAACTATGGTTATCATGAAATCCATTAGAGTGAGAGAACATGCAGAACAAGTATAAATGGCAAGATAATTTTCATTAATCTTCAGTGTAGTTGGTTACACTAGTTACTTGTAATGAAAAAAAAAGAGAACCATAAGATTTAAAGATAGGTATAACTCTGGATGCTAGTAATTTCCTCCTGCACACCACTTAAAATTAGAAATTGGGAAGAGATCAGTCATTGAGTTAGGGTGTTTAGAAATAAAGAAGCAACTCACTACTCAAGGAAATGTTATTCCCCACTTTGGGAGGCTTTTTAAAATAGGAGATTGGTTCTGTAGGAGCATTTTTAACTGATCACAAAAGAGTTTTATGGTGTCAGTGGGCTTGTTCTAAATGAAATGGAATATTATTTTGGAACAGATTTGAGAAAGAGTGAAGAAAGTGAAGGCATGATTCAATACAGAAGGAATATGCATTATTAGAGTACAGAAAGCTAATGCAGGACTTAAAGAGGGATGTCACAAAATCAGAGAAAGGAAAAGAACAATTTACTTGCCTATAAGTGTCTGATTCTTCAAGTGGTTATCTGTACCTTCACACAAATGGGTCTTGATGCCTGCACAGAGCCTTCTCAAAGTATTCTAGAGCTAATTAGAATGACAGACACCCTGCTCCTCCCTATCACACATGTCCTCTTCACCTGCCAAGCTATCATTATATCAGCTTCCGACAGGCAAAAAATGACAGGCAGGACCTGAAAAGAGGGGAGGGTGGGTTTGGGAGAGCACTAATGACCACTTGAACCACAATTACAGGTAAGCAACTGGTTCTTGGGAGTCAATTTTGCTGTGAGTTGTGGTTTATACTAGAGCATGCTGATGTGCATTAAAGGCTTTATTTCAGAGCAGGGATCCCCAAACTACAGCCCGCGGCCTGCATGCGGCCTGCGGCCTGCATGCGGCCCGCCAAGGGCATTTATCCGGCCTGCGCGGCCTGTCCTGGCCTCGCACAAAGCCCTTCGCTGCCGCCAATGCCGTCTGCTCTGCTGCGCTTCTCCCTCCACAGGCTCCTCCCTCCACACGGGAGGGAGAAGCCTGTGGAGGGAGAAGTGCTCTCTGCTCTCCCGCGGAGAACAGAGAGCGAAGCAGAGTGGACGCCATTGCTCTACAACAGAAAATCCCTGGTGGCAAGGAAGGCGTCTGCAAATGGTGGAGGCGGCGCAGGGTGGGCGTGGCCAGGTTTCTGGGCCAGGGAAGCCAGCATCGCTTGGCCACGCCCACCTGGCGTCGCCTCCACCATTTGCGGACACCTTCCTCGTCACCAGGGATTTTCTGTTGTAGAGCAATGGCGTCCGCTCTGTTTCGCTCTCTGTTCTCCACGGGAGAGCAGAGAGCGCTTCTCCCTCCACAGGCTTCTCCATCCCGTGTGGAGGGAGAAACCTGTGGAGGGAGAAGCGCAGCAGAGCAGACGCCATTCCTCTGCAACAGAGGATCCCTGGTGGCAAGGAAGGCGTCCGCAAATGGTGGAGGCGGCGCCAGGTGGGCGTGGCCAAGCAATGCTGGCTTCCCTGGCCTGAAAGCCGGGCCACGCCCACCCGGCGCCGCCTCCACCATTTGCGGACGCTTTCCTTGCCACCAGGGATCTTGTTACAGAGCAATGGCGTCCGCTCTGCTTCGCTCTCTGTTCTCCGTGGGAGAGCAGAGAGCGCTTCTCCCTCCACAGGCTTCCATAGGCTTCTCCCTCCCGTGCTTATCTGGACCAGCAGCGGCTGCTGGAGTCCCCGCAGCGCTGCTCTGGAAAGGTTTGGCCCAATTCTATTGTTGATGGGGTTCAGAATGCTCTGTGATTGTAGATGAACTACAAATCCCAGCAACTACAACTCCCAAATGTCAAGATTCTATTTCCCCCAAACTCCACCAGTGTTCACATTGGGCATATTGAGATATCCGTGCCAAGTTTGGTCACAGATCCACCATTGAGTCCACAGTGCTCTCTGGATGCAGGTGAACTACAACTCCAAAACTCAAGGTCAATGCCCACCAAACCCTTCCAGTATTTTCTGTTGTTCATGGGAGTTCTGTGTACCAAGACTGGTTCAATTCCATCATTGGTGGAGTTTAGAATGCTCTTTGATTACAGGTGAACTATAAATCCCAGCAAATACAACCCCCAAACCACCAGTGTTCACATTTGGGCATATTGAGTATCAGTGCCAAGTTTGGTCCAGATCCATCATTGTTTGAGTCCACAGTGATCTCTGGATGTAGGTGAACTACAACTCTAAAACCAAAGGACACTGCCCACCAAACCCTTCCAGTATTTTCTGTTGGTAATGGGAGAACTCTATGTCAAGTTTGGTTCAATTCCATCATTGATGGGGTTCAGAATGTTCTTTGATTATAGGTAAACTATAAATCCCAGCAACTACAACTCCCAAATGACAAAATCAATTTTTTTTAGTGAAGGACATACATTGTTAGGTGTCCAGTGTTTTTTGAGTTCTGTTAATCTCACAAACAAACATTACATTTTTATTTATATAGATTTATTTCCTATATTTATACCCTGCCCTTCTCCCCCTGAAAGGGGACTCATGCTTACATATTCCAAAAACCACTTTCAAAAAGACAGAAAATAGAATGTTTTCCTCATTTTAATTGGAACTATTTTATCTTCAGAAATGCTAAAACTATGCTTTATGTTCAGATTGTAACAATAAAAATACATCATGCATATCAGATATTTACATTTCAGATATTTACATTTCATAACAGTAGCAAAATAGGACATGTGCAGTGTGCATAGGAATTTGGTCATCGTTTTTTTAAAAAAAACTAGTCCGGCCCTCCAACGGTCTGGGGGACAGTAATCTGGCCGCCCGTTCAAAAAGTTTGAGGACCCCTGTTTCAGAGCATCCCCCTACTTTTCTTATCCCGGTTTAAAATTCTTACACCTTCACAACATGTATTCTACATATAACCACCATACTATCAAGCTAACTTCAAACTGTATCAAATGATTAGTGCAGATGTGCCCTCTGAAACAGTTACAGCAGCAGCTAAAAGCAATTTAAAAGTGACTGATGAGAGACTTTAGTGATTGTAACCAGAGGTGCAGTTATAGATGAGAGGTACAATTGTTCAGAGCCTGATTAATAAATCTGCAACAAATTACACACTGTTTAACATTGTGTTCCTCTCCCAAAGAGAACAAACACTTATACAACCATACTTTCTGCTCAAACCGGAGGTGAGGGAGAAGGAAAGTGAGGAAAAGTAACTTTCTTCATGGTAGAAGTAGATAAAAGGGAATATTTAAAAAATCAGAAACAGAAATAACCTAGACGAGAAAATGAAAGCTACTCAACACCTGATCGCGCCAAGAGAAATAACAACTTCAGTAGATATAATGAGAAGGGAAAATGAGCGAACTTTAGCTTGGTGGATAAAGACAAGTGCTGTGAGGCAGAGAGTAGTGCGCTGCCAAGCTATTTAAGTCTTTAAAGTAGGCATGAAAGCCCATCTTTGTGAGACAGAGGGCACTTCCACACAGATATTTAACCCATAATATCCCACAATATATGCTTTGAACTGGGCTGAGTCCACACTGCCATATATTCCAGTTCAAAGCAGATAATGTGGGATTTTATTCAACTGTGTGGAAGGGGTCAGAAAGACCATGAAGTATTATTTTGAGAATAGTTACCTGTTTTTTACTACCCAAAATGCACCTAATCATGCCAAGCCTTGCCAACAGCCAAAGGATTTGGCTGGAGGCAAGCAATAGAAGCCCTGTGAGAGACCAGTTTATATTTCATAGACTGGTGTATTTCACCAGTCTCGGCAGGTAGGAGGGGCCTGGCCAGGAAATTAAGCAGCTGGCCCCTCCCTCCTGTTTCAGATGTTCATCCGGCGACCCACTCACCCTCTGCACAATATGAGTGAATGCTTGTCGCTCTAGGGGGTGGGTAGGTATTTATCCCTCTCCTAAGGGGAAGGTTGGTGGTTTTCACCTACCCCATATTGTATACATTGGAGAAAGGAGTTTATTTGGGTGGCACTGTTAATGAAGTTTCCAATGGTAGGAACTGGGGGGAGAACATTGTTGGTGTTCACCTTGGCACCCTCAATTTGGGGGTGAAGGGGGATATCCTGGATGGCCCCTCTATGTTTCAATGCTTGGAGGGCATCTTGAGATTTTTTCCCCTTGGGTTCCTGCTTTCTCTTATAGAGTTCTGGGGCTCGGGAGGGAATGTCCCTGGAATGGCCTTCCAGTAATAACCGTCTGGGCTAGCAAGCCATTAAGTGGACTGCCCCTGAGGTCAGACATTTGCACAGAGGTAAACGAGGAGATAGACATTGGGTGATACCCGCTTCTCCGCCATGAGCTATTTCTTTGTTGCTCGCCCTAGGTTAGTTTTACTGCACAGAATTGCAGTTTCCATAGGTCAATAAATGGCCTTTTGTTCTATATTTTCTTGTCTGGTCTCTTATTTCATAGCGTTACTTCAAATTGTGGGTATTCAGCAAGGTTGAGCCTGGTTTGTAATTGGCGAAGAAACCACCAGGGAATCTCCAATGTAGAACTGGGAAATAATCCTATTTGAAACCTTAGAACTTGCTATCAGCCAGAGTTGTCAATAACAGGCTAGAAGTTCCTTATTTTCATATGAATGGTCAAGGATTAATTTAAAACTAAAAGAGGTTAGGTACTAGAGGTGAGAAATACAGAGAGGGAATGAGTCTTGTGTTCACATTATTGTAAAGAGCACATTTGGCAACATACTGTTATATAGGGAATTATGGAGACAGTTATCAAAAGTTAAGCCAAAGGTTTGGCTCTGTTCATTAGGATGACATGTTAATGAGGTAGATTTGTGAAGAAAGTTGTAAAGACATTCTGGCTGTAATCTTGTTGATATCAATGATAAGTGAAGTCTTACACCGGCTGAAAGCATGTCTTTAGGACAAAGCGGCAGTGAGAGAAAAGCGGGGAAAGCCTTTCTTTTTTGGAGATAATACTGTCTTGCAGGTCCATGGGCACCTTGGGAGCCACCAAGGCAGTTAGCATGCTCCACTAGCTCTTACTGTGGACTTTTGCTGCTGTCCCCACTCACCAGTTTGATTGAGAGAACATGCCAGTTAGTGACAGAGGATGTGAGAAAGAAACAGCTGTTCTCTGCTCAGATCTCCCCCTCAATATTTTGGAAGTACTCTGGGGTATGCCAGGAGGGTGACAGCTGTTCCTTTCTCATGATTGAGCCGTTCTGTCCTATGGATCAAATTGTGTATGTGCAACCTTACACAAGTACTACTTGATATGTGCTGGAGGCTGGTTGCTGAAGGGATTCCCTTACCTCTAACCTGCTCATGTGCAGAGCAACACACAGAAGTAACAACACATGATTGCTGTTACCCAAATTGTGATTGCATTAGTTTTTTGGGCAGCATAATTAAACACCATTACAAAATGCAGATTGCTCCTGTGGTATGATCAAATAAACTGAACTAAAATTGAATATGACAGCTCATCGCTGAATACAATTTTAAAAATAAAATTCTTATTAATTTAACAAAATTATACTGATTTTTACTACAAACATACTTACCAAATCATTGGGTATTGAACTACGATTTCTTGATTCCAGTGAAAAAAGTTGCCCCAATGTAGCTGTAAATTCAAGGGAAAAAAATTTAATCAACTACTTCATTTTTGAAATTTTCCCAAGCAGAATAAAAACTATTTCCTCCAATTTTAAAAAGTAAACTGGATGTTCCATAAGTTAAGGAAACAGAACTTCCTGCCCACAAATATAATTTGTCCCTAGCCTTTTGTCTGGATTATAGGTGCAGCCAACAGTTGAAAACTCCTGCTGTTCCTGGGGAGTTACCCACTGTGGTCCTGGTTGGGCCGGGGGGGGGGGGGGGCTCCCTTGCCCACATGCATTTTTTCTACTCAATCATTCTATCTACCTTTCTCTGCTCACTCCCTTCCCCGCCCCCCACCCCGGACTCGTTCTCCCTTGGTCAAGGCACATGTGGGGCTCTGTTCCTCCTCTTCTTCCATTATTGCATGTTGTGTGTCTTTCTTTCAGGCAACACTAATGACAGCTGGAGCATGGGAGGCAAAGGCAATAGCCTGCCAGGATGGTTTGCAAGAAGAAAGCAGGGCAGGGCAGCACAGAGCTGCTGTTCTCCCTGGCTGTGTAATAAGAAATTCAATGTGCAGATTTGATAAATGTGAATTTAATATGATGTGTGGGAATGAATGGAAGAATGGAAGATGGAAGTATGGATGGAGCTAATAATTTTGGAAACACCAGTATAATATTAAAGCCTGTGATGACTAACAACCTGCTTTCTGGACTGTGATTAAAACTTGCTAATAAGAACTGAAAAGTAAACTCTGATAAGAACGGAACAGTGATAAAAGAAACGTTTACTATGTTAAGAAGGAAGTCAACATAAGAACAACACCAACCAAGAAGTTCAACATCTGTCCAGGAAACTGAGATGAATCCAGGATGGAAGACATCTTTCATTAATTTACAACTTTGGGACTACATCAGCAGAATATTCCTATAAAAGACTCAGTCTAATAATGCTCAAAGTGTGACTGACCTGAGGAGTTTGGTTCACCTGCTATGCTCTGCTCCATGGGAAGGAGAGAGATAGTGCACCATGGAGTGGCAGATTTGCAAAGGAGCAGTCTGGCCTTCTTTCTCAAGGGAAGAGGAAGAAGTGCACTTTTGGAGTCTTACATTTTGTGAAGGGAGTCGGGTTCTGCTGTATGGAAAACAGATATGGTCCTTGCCATTGTGCTTAGGGAAAGGATGCATTTTGGCATTTTGAAGTTATATGTTGGCAGGCTGCAGGAAAGCAAGGTCTGGCCTAACAGGTGCTTCTCCAAGGAGGGAGAAAAGGGTATGATAACATTTTTGATGCATGTGGATGAATATGTGTACATGTGTGTGAATGTTGAATGAAACTGTAACAACCCTTTGTCTGTTTGTAAACAATGTAATTGTGAATCCAATGTAGTTGCACAGAATCTATATGTCTGTATGTCTAATGTCATTCTTTGTCTAAATGTTTTTCTGTAATCTGAAATACCCTCTCACACTGGAAATTGCAATAAAAAGAACCTATGCTTTAAAGTTATTCAAAAGTCATTCATGACAGCTGGCTTCCTGGGCTCCTTTTGACTACTGTGCCAAGCACCTGCATTTGTGCCACAGTCACAGGAAAAAGAGGCGAGGGTGAATGAGAGAGCACAGAAAGTCAGTGAGCAAGTGGTGACAGAGAAAGGATGACAGGAAGCAGGACCATATTCCTTTCTCTACCTGTCCAATTGCTCACTGCATTTCTTGCTGTCTGGGGAGAGGAAGACATTGAGCAAGTTTGCAAGCAGAGAAAGGAAAAGAGAAAAGAAGCACTCAGGAGGAGGAAAGCAGCAAACCAAGAGGCAGGTGGGTAGGAAAAGGCAGGGAGGAAGCAGGTGCTCATCACCTCTGTTGCCTTATGCCATTTTTTCATAGGGGTTTATAAGTCTTATTGTGCATTTGTGGTCTCCCTCAGTCTCAAGATGCTTGCAGTCCCTATTACAAATAGCAGAGGGCAGCAGTACAGGTGGCAGCAAATAATCCATAAATAATCAAATGTGTAAAGATGAAATTCATGAAAATAGAAGGCTGACTGTACAATCAAGCTAACGAAAAGCTGTTAGAAACGATAACCTTCATCAAGTTGTCTCTAGAAATCGTCTATGATCTTGTTGCGTACTGTTTCCATATGTATGGTGGGGTGTGCAGCTTCCTTTACACTAGGTTTCTGAGAAGTTATAAAAGGGGCTGCATCAGACCACATGCTCTCTCTCCTTTTGACTATGTGACCTGTTGATAGCTGCTTTTGTTACAAAAGAGATGCCCTGGCCAGCTGGCATAGGGAACCATCTCAAAAGATATTGAAACTGGACTAATAAGTTTTTGTATCTGTGTATGCTGAACACACGAAAGTGGTGAAACTTTTTTCCTTTCCTCCCCAAAGTATCTTATCTCTGAAAGGGGAAGGAAAGTTCCAGAGAGCTTTGGTTTGTTTTTGTTTTTTTAAAGTGTCTTACCACTGAGTGGAAAGGAGGAGGGAGCAGAGAGGATTAATATGACAATTAAGCAAGAAAAGGCAAAAAACCAATTTTTGGACTGAAAAAGAGGGGTGCAACCATTATGCAGTGGCACCTATTAAGCGGTGAAATACAGTACTACATAAAATACAGCCAGCCCTCCATATCCGCTGATTCCACATCCATAAGTTCAACTATACACTTTGAAGAAATATTCCTGTCAAAAAAGCGAACCTTGATTTTGCCATTTTATATAAGGAACACCATTTTATTACATCATTATATACATAACTGATCTTGAGAATTCATGGATTTCAGTAATCACAGGAGGCTCTGAAACTGAACCGCAGTAGATACCAATGACCTGTGGTATTTTTAATTAGATTCTGGTTAAGTACAGAAGCATTCCAGATAGGCTTAATTTATTTTTCAATTAAATCATTGTTTTATACTACAAACACTGATCCAGAAAAGGAGTATGGGATGAACCTAACCCAGGGACATGTGAGAATTTCATTTGATTTTCATTTCCACAAATTAATGACCTACAGGTTGTAGAGTTTCTCTTTATTTTGTGATTTCTGAAGGCAGAATTATAAAAATGAAGTATGACAAGAATCTTGGGTAAGTGTACAATGCAATTCATCTTCACAACAAGTTCATAGGAAGTCTATTTTTTATATTCAAACTTTAAAAATTATTGAAACACAGAAGTGCAAAGGCAGGAAGCAGGTGAAATTAGTTTAATCCTAATAGCTCATTTGTTAATATTTCTCACTGATTCAAATGGTTCTGGAATTATATTCCAGTTTTCATTTCAATACCGATAAAACCATAGCTATAAAGTTCTATTAAGTGTCTAGAATAAGATTTCCAAACTCTCTCTCACCACATCTCCGATCTGAATGATACTGGCAAACATTAAAGCATGTTCCGGTGTTCTTACGTGCCTCCATACTTCGTATAATTAACAATTTAGTGGCTGGTGAAGTACCTTGTACCTAGGATATTGCCACAATAAGAATCCTTGTTCACATCAAATAGTTCATTCATATAGGGACAATATAAATGACTCCATGTGCAATATTAAATTTTGTTACCATATAAACAATACAGTCACCTTACTTATCATAGGTAGAAAAATATCCCTTTATCTTCCTATAAATTCTAAGGCAACATTAAGTGATAACACTTTAAAATACACATTCTTCAAGGGAAATAATTTACATCAAATCCAGCCATAATATATTTTATTATACTGTTGCTTTATTTTTTAAAAAAGAGATGATGGAATGATATTCTGTATTGAGCAGGATAAATTTAAAACAAGAAGTTGGTACATACCATGAATTATCATTCTGGGATGCCAGGAAGAACAATCTACCAAACAATGAATTAACTGTGCACCAACTGACAATGCAGGAGATTTGTTGTGATTCCTTCCCTGTCTTGCCTAATTTGAATCTCCACTCTCACAACAACCTTAACCAAACTATATTTATCTTATATTTCCCCGAAATGACAATTCACAGTAAGTCTCAACCTCTCATTCTAGAGATGGCATAGACGATCTATCCACCCACCAATGGGACTTATTTAAACTCCCATTCTGGTGGATTGTAATCAAACTTCATACTGAAAAAAAAATAATCTGTGCTTGCAACTAACTGGATTCAAATTCATATATTATTACGTACAGATAGCAAAGCATTTAATTTACTGAGTACCTCTCTAATTATTCCTTGAAAGTCACAATAAATTGAGGGGGAACCAGTTAGCATTGCTGGCCTGACCCCACGAAGTACCTGGTCTGCACTCTCTTCGGATACCTGCCTATGACCCTCATAGCTACTCCCAAGTTCTGGCAGTGCTTTTTTCTTTCTTTAATTTTATCTCCCCCTTTTCACTCTCACATGAAGTTAGAAATACATTCTGTAAATCAACTCTCTCATCTTCAGAGATGTGCTGGGCAGTGGTTATCCAAGCAGCATCAGGACCTGCCCATTCTTATCACCTGATCTGCTTTTCAGCCATCTGGGAAATGTAGTTTCCTTTAGTTTTTAATACAGTTTGTTTTTTTCCTCTCAAGGACCTACAGTGCACACTCTTTTCTGCCATCTCTTCTTTTCTCTATTGCTATTCTAATTCAGCTGATGATCTTGGGGAGGGGATGTATATCTGGTTGGCAGGCAGGAGACTTAAAACTTACTGGGAAATAATAGTCAAAATTTGCAGGTTTCTTTTTTCTCCAGCACCTGGGTTATATTATGAACTAACTATAAAAATTCTACTTACCTGGTGACAGGTTTTAGGTAAAATACATGGTGCACAATAACGTTGTCCCAATTGACAATCTTGTACTGTTCCATGTACAAGAATGACATCATCCATAGCCTCATCATAAATGTCACATTTGGTGTGGTTTAGTACATCTATAACGTACATGTTAGAATACTGTGCACACATTTTGTATGTCCAGTCCTATAAAACCAAACCATATAAAGTCAATTATATCATCATTTATAATAATTGCAAAATGACAATACCTTAATAGTATAAACTTTAAATATCCCAGCCAAAACCATTCTGATAGAGGAATGACTTTAAATGTATTGTATTATTTTTGTCCTATCTCATACTTTGGCGTATTACTATGGGACACTTTAATGAATGAAAGATACTGTATACATACATACAATTACATCCATTGTTTCAAAGATTTACTTCCTAAGACAGTAAATTAAAGATCAAGAGTTTTCACCCAAGCAATCAATTTTCATATTTACTATTCTGCATCTATTATCTACTCAAATTATTTTTTCAAATTAAGTTTTTTTTCAAAACACCAAAATATGTAATTTTAAGAACGATGATCATACACACACACACACACACACACACACAGTTACACAATACTAGGGATAACAATTGCTCAAAATTATTTACAATGTATATCCACCCAGAGACTGTACCATGTTCTAAAAAGTCTGTTACTAATTACTATGAAAGGTTTCTCCTGACATTAGGTCTACTCATGTCCAACTCTGGGGGGTAGTGGTAATCTCCACTTTTAAGTCAAAGAGCCAGTGTTGTCCATAGACACCTCCAAGGTCATGTGGCCAGCGTGACTGCATGGAGCGCCCTTACCTTCCTGCAGAAGTGGTACCTAACTACTCACATCTGCATGTTTTCAAACTGCTAGGTTTGCAGAAGCTGGGCCTAACAGCGAGAGCTCACCCTGCTCCGCGGATTTGAATCGCCAACCTTTCAGTCAGCAAGTTCAGCAGCTCAGCTGTTTAACCCACTGCACCACCAGGAGACCCTAATTACTATTACTATCACTGAAATCCAGGATGGTTTTTTTTCAAAAAGAGGTAAATGTGTGCTAAACAATGCTAGCGTTGCATGGTTTTTTTGAGAGCTTGGTGAATAGAACTTGAAGTGTGCTCAGCAATGGGTCCTCTTCATCCTGGATGGAAATGACAAATATAATGCGAAATGATTCTGTCCTGGGGCCACTGTTGATTAACATCTTTATAAATACTTGGAAGACGAAATATAGGGCATGCTAATCAAATGTGCAAATGATACAGCACAGCTAATACCTCAAGGGGCAGAAGCAGGATTCAAAATGACCATTACAGATGGGAAAGTGGGGAAAACAATCAAAATTAAGTTCATCAGGGATTATGGTAAAATAAGGTTTAGTAAAAATCCAATACATAAAGACAGGATTTATTGATCTTACCAGAAGATGTGACACAATCTAGAGGTCTTGACTATATGTTAAGCATATCGCTAACAGCAATTTATTAATTTTCAAAGAACCTCTGAAATAATAAGTGCTGCTTGGTGTACTTTGGATCTGCAAACCTAGAGTGTATAAACCTTTTTATTACAATTGTAAGAAAGGGAGAAAATATAGAGTAACATTTTTATTGCAGCAGCACTCTAATCTACAACCTACCTGGTTAGGAAGATTTTCTTTGTAGGTTTTGAGAGCAATATCAAGAGCAATTTTCAGCCATATTTTATATTCTAAGGAGGGTGGTTCTAAAAACCTATCAAAAGCTTCAAGCAAATCATCTATAGAGATAAAGCACGTCTGGGGGGAAAGACCATGAGATATTGTGTTACTAGCATCATTTCCTAGTTTAATTAGATTTATATATTTTGAAGCAATGAGTTACACAATGGTTGCTAAATTATGCAAAAGAATTACAGTGAAAACAGAGTTCATGCCAAATAAAATATTTTAATTTTTTATTTAAAATCTACTTTGGTTGGAAAAATACACACATTAATGTCTTTAAATTGCATTGTTTCAAGAGAGAATATTCTTTTAGGATTAATTTAAACAACACCATAATAAGATGAACAGTTGAAAATTATTTCCATGAAATCAGGACCTCTTTCTACAGTCAGAATCCAATTTTTTATTTAAATAAGGCAAAAGGTCTTGGAGATAATAATGGCGTATTTATGAAATTGTTATAATGTACCCTCAAATTCGGTTTTCAAGAATAGATTAAACAAAAATACAACAAGCAAACTGCTCAAACTATGATTAATGGAGAACCGACAAAATCATGTAAAATACACAAAAGAACTAGGCAATGATATCCTCTTTCACCATGGTTATTCTTAATGGTTATGGAGGTATTAAATAGAGAAATAAGAGCTGAAAAGGACATTAAATGAGTAAAAATGAAAGGGTAAAACTATAAAGTAAAAGCATTTGCAGATAATTCATTTGAAGGAACAATAACAAGCCATGGGTTAAGATGGACTTTTTTCCATTATTGTAAAATATTTTATTTAATTGATAAAGAATGGGTAATTTTTGATAATAAAAATAACTTTCTGAAGTTGATACTTTACTGTCTTAAAATCTATTGAAAAGAGTTATGATTGAATTTTAAGAGTTCTTGAATTTAAATCATGGAAACAAAACACGAATTTTTCAAAAATTCGTATTTCAAATATACATAGAACTTCATTTCAGTTTTAGTCTAAACGTACTGTTATTGCCATTACTACTTATACTAAGTAGAAAGAAGAATGCTCCAACCTGCACAGCAGTTTCACAAGACACCGCATATTCCATTTCTTGCTTAGTTAGGCAGTTCAGCTCTCCTATTATAGCACCAGTGACCATGTAGTCTGTATAGGAAGATGCAGCTGTGTGTCTGTTAACAGCTTCTTTCATAAAATCTTTATCAACTCCATAACGAGGAGGAGAAGAACCAGAAAGCTAGGAAGCACATTTTAGAGTAATAAAAATGACAATTACATTGAGACAAGAATTGAAACAATAATTTTGGGTAGTGTAGTAAAGTGTCCCTCATCTACTTCTTGTTCATAAGATGTGGTTTTTCCAACATGAAAGCTTTCTGTCCTCCCAGGAAAATAACATTCCTCTGCCAGTTGCTTTTTAAAGAATGTTTTTCATGTAAAGGTTTTTCCACTAGAATTTCACCCAGATACGAAAGTCTAACTTTCCTCTCTTATCTAACTTGATTTGGTAAGCAATATAAACACAATGTAATGTTGCAAAGTAGAATTAAGTTGAACATTTCAATACTTTGGTGTCAAATTATATGTTTAGCACTGAGTTCAATTTAATATTTTGTGAACATGAGCACTTCCCTCACAAAAGTTTTAGTATTTGAAATTCTACCCTTTTGCACCATCAGGATAACACATAGGTGGTATGGGAAGAAGTGGAGAAATCAATTTCTCTATGCCAAGTAGCATATGTCTTAACTTTGATCCAGTCTAGTGTACTGAATTATGTTAATTTCCCATTACAAAGCTATCCCAGAATCATTCCTTTACTCAGGTTTCACCAAGACACATCAGTTGACAGTTCACTTTTTAAATGAAATTAGAAGACTCCCTAGATGAATTTTACAAGCTCCATAAAAAATGAATCTCACTTCCAATATTGCACTTGTTCACAAAAGTTATATGAAACTCAGCAATTAGAGCAGTGGTTCTCAACCTGTGGGTCCCCAGGTCGACAACTCCCAGAAATCCCTGCCAGTCTACCAGCTGTATTTCTGGGAGTTGAAGGCCATCTGGGGACCCACAGGTTGAGAACCACTGAATTAGAGGCTATGGGAGTTCCCATTCAATTTCTGACTGAGCTGTTTCAGTCAACATTCATTATGTGTATCCAAAATCTTTGTGGAGTAAATGGAAAACTCATTGTAAATTAACTTTCATGAAATTAGCAAATGCAATGGTAGACCTTTGTGAAAATAAAAACAGCAAAGTATAACAACGACTTCTTATGATACATTTAAAACACTTTACATAGCTTTTGTCACCCAGTCAAAAACAGTGAACTAAAACACTTGTACCGTTAGTCCAAAATACATAAATCGAACACATGTAACAAAAATATAGTTACTTTGTGTGTGTGTGTCAGGAGCAACTTGAGAAACTGCAAGTTCCTTCTGGTGTGAGAGAATTTGCCTTCTGCAAGGACGTTGCCCAGGGGAAGCCTGGATGTTTTATCATCCTTGTGGGAGGCTTCTCACATGTCCCCACATGGGGAACTGGAGCTGATAGAAGGAGCTCATCCGCACTCTCCCAAGATTTAAAACTGCAACCTGCCGGTCTTTCAGTCCTGCCGGCGCAAGGGTTTAACCCATTGCGCCACCGGGTGGCTCACTGGTTAGTCAGTGCCAAACTATCCTACTGTCATGTACTTTAAGTTATGCTGTCTTTTGGAAATGGTTCAAAAGATTTAACTAATGGAAGATTGCAATCTAACTCAGCAGAGAGGCAGAGTAAATCTTTATTCCCATCACACCCAATTTTTAGCCCTTAAGGTCAATAGGGATAGTAGTATGGATGTTCTGAGAATTATTAGATTGGGCAGCATTAACCATGGTAAAACCTTTGATTTGGGAACTGACTAGCACTAGCTAGTCAGTTCCCAAATCCATGATCTTATACAGACTACCAATTTCTTTGAAGTGAATGGTACTGCTGGAGTAGTCAAGGTGCATCACATTACCTGCAGATGATATGAGAGGAACAAAATGGAAGCAGGAGTCGAAGTTATTCACTCAATGTCCCTGAAAATAAGGACCTCCACCTCAACATTCGCCTAATGTACCTGTAGGCCCCATTCTCAACACTTGATTGATAAAGGCACATATGTCATATGTAGAAGAAGGCAAATCAGCATTTGCCATGTAATGTTTTGGAGATTTGGATCATACTGATATGGAAGAACATTAGAATCAACATATGAAATGGAGGGAGAGTGTCCTTAATAGAAGGTTCAACACACTCTTAACACTCACTCAAATGAGATCCTACTGTAACTCCAGGTACAGGAGCTGAACAATGAACAAGAATATAGGATATAGAATCATAGAGTTGGAAGAGACCAATGGTCTATCTAGTTCTACCATCTGCCACGCAGGAAAAGCACAAAGCATCCCTGACAGATGGCCATGCAGTCTCTGTTTACAAGCTTCCAAGGAAGGAGGTTCCACCACACACCGAGGCAGAGAGTTACAATCAGGAAATTCTTCCTAGCATTCAGGTGGAATCTCCATTCCTGTAATTTGAACTCATCACTCTTAGTTTTCAGGGCAGCAGAAAAGAAGCCTGTTCCCTCTTCCTTATGACATCCTTTCACATATTTATTTATTTATTTATTTATTACTTTGCTTATATACCGCAATTCTCAGCCTAATGGCGACTCATTGCGGTGTACAACATGGAAAAACAGGTGCAAAAATACAACATACAAAAAATAATACACAGTACATCATTATCAAAACATCTCATCAAAAAACATCAGTATAACTACAAGCCATTCCGAGTCGTCTCATCGTCAAGTTCACAATCCAATATCATTTCCGTTGTTCCATTCCTATGGTCGAGTTACCCGTCATTGCACTACTATTCAAATGCCTTCTCAAACAACCAGGTCTTTAACTTCCTGCGGAATATCAACAGGGAGGGGGCTAGCCTGATGTCTACGGGAAGGGTGTTCCACAGCCAAGGAGCCACCACCGAGAAGGCCCTATCCCTCGTCCTCGCCAGCCGTGCCTGTGACGCAGGCGGGATCGAGAGCAGTGCCTCCCCGGAAGATCTCAAAGTCCTCGTGGGCACATAGGCCGAGAGGCGGTCAGTTAGGTATCTTGGGCCGGAACCGTTTAGGGCTTTATAGGCCAATGCCAGCACCTTGAATTGAGCCCGGTAGCAGATCGGCAGCCAGTGGAGCTGGTCCAGCAGGGGGGTTGTATGCTCCCTGTGCCCCGCTCCTGTTAGTATCATGGCTGCTGCACGTTGGACCAATTGGAGCTTCCGAGCCGTCTTCAAGGGCAACCCCACATAGAGAGCGTTACAGTAGTCTAAACGGGATGTAACCAGAGCGTGGACTACCGTGGCCAAGTCAGACTTCCCAAGATACGGGCGCAGCTGGCGCACGAGCCTGAGCTGTGCAAATACTCCCCTGGTCACCGTCGAGACCTGGGGCTCCAGGCTCAGCGACGAATCCAGGATCACACCCAAGCTGCGAACCTGCGCCTTCAAGGGGAGTGCGACCCCATCCAGCACAGGCTGTAACCCTATACCCTGTTCGGCCTTGCGACTGACCAGGAGTACCTCTGTCTTGTCTGGATTCAATTTCAATTTGTTCGCCCTCATCCAGACCGTTACAGCGGCCAGGCACCGGTTCAGGACCTCGACAGCCTCCTTAGTAGCAGGTGGAAAGGAGTGACAGAGTTGGACATCATCTGCGTACAGATGACACCGTACCCCGAAACTCCGGATGATCTCACCCAGCGGCTTCATGTAGATATTAAACAGCATGGGGGACAGTATAGAGCCCTGAGGAACCCCACACGACAAGGGTTGTGGGTTTGAACAGGTGTCCTCCAATAACACCTTCTGGGACCGACCCTCCAGGAATGACCGGAGCCACCGTAAAACAGTGCCCCCGAGACCCATCCCCGCAAGGCGTTCCAGAAGGATACCGTGGCTGACGGTATCGAAGGCCGCTGAGAGGTCCAGCAGCACCAACAGGGACACACTCCCCCTGTCGAGCTCCCAGCGCAGATCATCCACTAAGGCGACCAAGACTGTCTCGGTTCCATGTCCCGGTCTGAAACCAGACTGTGCCGGATCCAGAAAATCCGTGTCTCCCAAGAATACCTGGAGTTGTGAGGCCACCACGCGTTCCAGGACTTTGCCCAAAAAGGGAAGATTGGAAACTGGCCGAAAGTTGTTGAATTTAGTGATGGTTTTTTCAACAGCGGTTTTATTATAGCTTGTTTTAAGCTCACTGGAATTCTGCCTTCCCGAAGGGAGGCGTTAACCACCACCTCCACCCACTCAGCCAATCCCCCTCTGGCCTCCTTTAGAAGCCAGGATGGGCAGGGGTCTAGGATGGACGTGGTAGGCCTCATTCCTCCAAGTATCTTGTCCACATCCTCGGGTTTCACCAATTGAAATGAATCCATCAAAATAGGACAAGCAGGTGCTCGTGTTACATCCTCAGAGACTGCCCTTAAAATGGTGTCCAGACCAGAACGGATCAAAGCGACTTTGTCTGCAAAGAACCAAGCAAAAGCTTCGCAGCGAGAAGCCGAATTGTCAGGGCTCCCGCCTAAAGTGGCGGGATTTAAAAGGCCTCTGACAATCCGAAACAACTCAGCCAGACGGTTCTTTGCAGATGCAATAGTGGCCGCAAAGAAAGTTTTCTTAGTGGCTTTTATTGCCGCGGCATATGCCCTTAAAAAGGACACAAACCGTGTTCGATTTGACTTGCTCGGATCCGATCGCCACACACTCTCTAGTTCCCTCTTCCTTCGCTTCATCGCTGCCAGCTCCTCAGTGAACCAAGGGGCTGGTTTAGCTCGGCTACTTGAGAGGGGACGTTACAGAGCGATCGTGTCAATTGCCCTAGTTATCTCCCCATTCCAGAGAGCGACCAGGGCATCAACAGAATCACCTACCGAGGTGGCGGGAAAATCCCCAAGAGCCGTCAGGAAGCCGTCTGGATCCATAAGCCTCCTGGGGCGGACCAGCTTAATGGGTCCTCCACCTCTGCAGAGGTTAGGGGGCGCAGTGAGCCTAAATCTGACCAGGAAGTGGTCGGTCCATGGCAATGGAGAGATGGTCAACTCCTCCACACCGCCACCTTCTTCCCATCCCTGACAGAAAACCAAGTCCAATGTATGTCCAGCACAGTGGGTGGGGCCAGATACTTGTTGGGACAGCCCC